TCTACCCTCCCCAGATTGCACATTGTGGGACTACACTGTGTGTGTTGTTGTATTGATTCCAAGCTTTATCCTACAGTCAGCACACCTGTTCATGCTGTAAGTGGCAACTGCAGGTTCCTATTGTGATGTGTCCTGAAGATGGTTGCTTCCCTGGCCTTTACTGCTTCAGTGTTCTTAGTAGACCTTGGCTTTCTGATGGATATACTATGATTTTATCTTCTATCTGGGGCAGCACACAAGTAATAATTTCAGTAAATGTGATAAGGTAAGCAAATATTTTGCTGCTCAAGCATGAATTCTTTTTCTGTACCAATGAGTTAATAGTAGTGAAATTTGTCTTTATCAAAAATAATAGTGGAAACATATCCCGGATCAGCCCTGGAGACTCTAACTTCTCATGGAATATGCTTGCACTAGATGGTGACAACATCATAGCTGGTAGGAATAAGTGTTCCTACTTTACTTCATATTGGTTCCTATAATAGTATACTTCATATTGGTTTCTATAATAGTATTCCCATTAATCAAAGAATTTGGCATTTTTTTCCGGTTAAAGTTTGTAGTAGTCCCGTTGATGTTCCTGCAATCAAGTATGGTTCCCTTGCTCGTAAGGCCTCCGCGGAGACCTCATGGAGTTGGTTAGATATTTCAAGCCCCATATCTAGATGCTCTGAAAAGGTCAGTCTGTTTTCCATTGTTTCTTTTGTTTTCCTTTATTATAATTCCATCTTAGTTTGTTCTGTTTGGCATTTTCTTGTTAGAAAGGCTTTTCTGAAATTTGAATGTTCCCAACAATGCTCACAGGTTATATCTTTGCTGTCTTCGCGCCAATTTAGTATTTTGAAGATTCCTGTCAGGGATATCTCTGAGAACCTTACTAAAGGTAAGAACCCCGTTGAGCTTTGAGGGAAGTTCTATAAATTCATGGAACAACACATGATTGTGACCTCTTATGCTATCTGCAGATCAATAGATGCTTGAATCCTTTTAGATTACTAATCTCTGCTGTTTCTACTATAATATTCAATGAGTTTTATTTTTGCTAGGTGCCAGCAAGCCGTATGAGGCTATCTTTGTATCCTCCAAGACTCAGAGTCGTAACGTGTGTGATCCGCTGATTGTAGTCCTTCACGGGGGTCCTCATTCTGTTTCATTGTCAAGCTTCTCAAAGTCCTTGGCTTTCCTTTCTTCACTTGGTTATAGCTTGTTGATTGTAAATTACAGGTAACCAACATAACTGACTTCTTTCTCCATGCCTCTGTTAAATCAAATGGTTATTGAAATATAACGCCAACTGTGAATACTAGTTGTGTATATGAGATGCTACACTAATATTATAGGTCATATATATATATTGGATAACCTAATATATATATATATATATAGATATAAAATCTCTGAATATCTCGTTTGCTGTATTTCATTTTTTGGGTTAGGAGCAGTAATTGCTTTGAATTCTGATTAAGCACTTTTTTTTTTAATCTCCTTCTCACAGAGGCTCCTTGGGTTTTGGTGAGGAAGCAGTACAATCTCTTCCTGGGAAAATTGGATCACAGGTACTTGATTGCGGTCTTTTTGTTTTCTTTCCCTTGAAAAGATTTTTTCCTTAGTTTTGTTTAGGCTTGAATGGTTTTGTTATATGAAATACAATTCCTTCTTTTTCATAATAATCCTATTAAGCATTCGGAACCTAATAGTGTTCTTCCTTTTTTTTCCCCTAATCTGCAGGATGTTAATGATGTGCTTGCTGCTCTAGATCATGTCATTGAAAAGGGACTTGCGGATCCATCTAAAATATCTGTGGTCGGTGGTTCCCATGGTGGATTTTTGACAACTCATTTGATTGGCCAGGTCTACCAATTTCCTTATATGCCACCGTCTTTATGGTTCCTATGTACCCATTTTTCTCAACCTTTGTTCAACAAACATTTGTGGGCCTTAATAAGGAAAGCTGGACAAGCTTGTCTTTCTTACCGACTATTGCTTGACAGTTCTGCTACTATTTCTGCAGGCACCAGATAAGTTTGCAGCAGCAGTTGCAAGGAACCCTGTCTGCAACCTCGCTTTGATGGTCGGTACATCGGATATACCTGATTGGTGCTACGCAGAGACATTTGGAGAAAATGGAAAAACAAATTTTACAGAGGCTACTTCATCTGAACACCTTGACGCCTTTTACAGAAAATCACCAATTTTACACGTCTCTAAGGTATGCGCCTCTATTAAATCCGGATTCGACAGTCATTCCATTTTAAGCAATATGTCTTTCTGTTGGTTCTCTCGAAAGGCCTATTTTTAAATTGCAGAATAGACTGAAGTTATAAGTCATGCTAGATTTCAAGGATCACAGATCCTGTTACAATCAAACCTCTGTATAATGGTGTCATTTGTCCGGATATTTTTTGGCTGTTATAGAGAACTGCTCTTATAGCAAACATATAACATAACATAACATTACCTGATACCTGTTGTTGGTAGGAGGTGACAGGTATCACATGGAATTAGTCAAGGTGTGCGAAAGTTGGCCCGGACACCAGTTTATAAAAAAAAATTAGAACATAACATGCCCTGGGTAGTGAAATGTTGTTATAAAGGATGACTGTTAGACGTGTGAATCTATTAGGAATGCATCTCTAGCATCTTATGTTTGCCAACTTTGCAGGTCAGAACTCCTACACTTTTCTTGCTAGGTGCTAAGGACCTCCGTGTACCGATGTCTACTGGATTGCAAGTGAGATTTCTTATAATCTATTATCTTTCTTGTTTCTTGTTTTGTTTGTTTAACACAAGTTTTCATTCTTAAATGCAAACGGTATGAGCAAGTTCACAGTTATGAATATCCATCATGATTCCATATCATTTTTCCTAGTTGCACCTTTTATTGGTTATGTATGTATGTTGATACATAGTCTATACTTACCTTTTGATTCTCTTTGAACAACTATGCATCCATCCATAAACAATGAAAAAAGTGAAAGAAATACGGATCCATCCAAAGCACAACGATGTTTTTTGTGGAGTCTAATTGTTGGCTCTATTTGTAAGGCAGTCTTCAAGCTTTGTATCTACTAATGAACTGTAGTAGCCAATCATCTGTGGACCAAAAATGTTATGTCTGCCAACGTCAATCGGCAATATGAATCAATGAACCACATAAATCTGTGAGATGAAAGCGGGTTACTTATTGTGTATACACCAATAATGCCAATATGGTTCTAATGGAACCATTACATTACTATATGTCCCGGCTTATTGACTAATGACGTTTTAACTTGTGGTTTTATTTCACTACGATTTATAACTCAAGAAAGTGTATGCCTTTCACTCTTATTGTGTGCAGTATGCACGTGCGTTGAAGGAGAAAGGAGGAGTGGAAGTTAAAGTGATCATGTTCCCTGAGGACACTCATGCACTTGATAGGTAAACTGGTCACATGCTATGTTGCTCGGAATCTTCACAATGATGTTGAATCCGCGCGGATGATCCAAAAGTGCACTGACTTTTGGAAGATCTGACACGAAACCAGCAGTGTTTTTTGAAGCGTCCGAGTAACATAAGATTTTACTTCACTTTAATGTTGTGAACTTACACATACACATCTGTTTTGCAGACCACAATCTGATTTTGAAAGCTTTCTAAACATTGGAGTGTGGTTTAAGAAGCACTGCAAATAGACTCATGTCTTCACCAAAAGTCACAATCCAACTTGAAGACGGGAGATTTGGTTTCGTAGTCCATATATGACCCTTTTCACAGCAGATCAGTAAAAAATAAACACAGGACATGAGGTTCATGGGGTCGTTTTTTCCTATTTAAATTGTAAGTGGTCATAAGAGATCGTTTCCTTTTTAAAGACTCGACTCTTCCACAATCAGTCACTAGTCAGAATGATTTATTGTACATCACAATTTACTAAATTGATCTCTTTTTATCTAATTCTAATATTTTAAAAAAAAAATCCTTGTGTCATGATATACTTATTAATGATGTGAATCAAGTAAAAAATGTATGGGTTATTAATATGGAATCCTTGTTCTTTTATTCTTCTTTAAGCCAATAAAATAAATAAATAGTAAAAAGTCTCAAAATAGAAGTCGCCGTCTGTGGGGATCGAACCCACGACCACGTGGTTAAAAGCCACGCGCTCTACCACTGAGCTAAGACGGTTTCTCTTTTTGTTATTTTCTTTAGTATAATGTGTAACCACATTGATACTATTTTAATGACAATAAAGATCTATCAATTGCGGCGATGATTGTGCTAGTGGTAATTGATAGGAATAAATGATCGCAGTAATGGTTGTTGATTTGGATAAAGTGAGTGGATTGAATCCCAATCAGTTGAAAATTATAATGTGCAAATCGTATAGTAACCTCTAATACCTATTTCTTCTTGAAATATAAAGATTATCACAAATACTTTTAAATAGGTGTAAAGATTGAGTTTAAACAAAGTTTTTTATCTCATAGAGACTAAACACTTACATATACCCTTTTGACCAAAAGTAAAAAGTTAAAGTGTTTTTATTTTAAATTTTCTATATAATAAAAAGAAAGTCATACACACTTGATGTTTATATCAACTCAATAAATAATTATATGTGTTTACATATTTTTATATCGTTTTATCATGATTAATTTGTGTTCTTACCCTTCATCAAATCACTTTTAAATATGATAAATTGACATAATTTGATGTAAATTATAGTAAGTAGACCAATAATATCTTAAAAAAATATGAATCCTTAAATTTGAGCAGATTAATAATTTTTCTATTTATCAATTCAACTTATTTTAAATTAACTAAAAAAATAATTAACGATCAAGATTGATTTCATAGTTTCAAACATATATTTGTTCCAGCTTAAAGTCACATATCAAATTAACATACTCATTTCTTATATAAAGGAACTAGTGAAAATATATTTGCAACTAAAAATCAAAAAGAGGATTTTATTTACAAAATATTATTCAAAAACAAAAAAAAAATAATCTTAACAATCAACAAGAACAACATGCCTATACATTCAAAAATATTAGAGATGGCTATACATAACAAACTCTAAATGAGAAGCGTCTTCCACATGGATTGAACATCAAGACTTTCAAATAAAGAACGTCATAAGCTCTTTCCAATATAATAGATCGATATTAAGCTCGAAGAATGAAAAAATTAATAAGAAACATTTCCTACTATATATAGAGAGGAACTCGTAAGAAACACCTCTTACTATAATGGATGATTTCAAACTCTAAGAATGAAGAAACAAGAACTTGTAGGAAGCTCACTTCCCCACTTAGTATACCCAACGTGAGTTGAATTTATCATTTCATTTTTGTAATCGTAAGATAAATTCGGATTAATCAAATCAGTAAACTTCGTTACGAGCATAAAACTAACAAATATCCTTCATCCCAAATTTCAAATCCTCCCATTGAGAATCATCAAATTCCAATCCTCCATTATTAACAACCTTAACTTCAACCAACAATAACTCCATTGCCACCTCCAAAATTTCCACCATTAAAACAACTCTCCCTTTAACCAACTCAATTCCCCTTCCTTTCCCTCTTTCAACTCTATACCCTCCTCCTTCTCCAATTTTCACCACCTTCTCTTCAACCTCCTCGATTCGAGCATTCGTCGTGAACTTCATCTCTCTATTGATCAAATCGCTCTCGAATAACCTCGATAAATTCAACCCTGATGACATTGATAATATGTCAAATGCATTTATCCCGCCCAAATTTGTACGATTCTTCTCGAACACACAATTGCTTGATCTTTGTTGTTGATTCGATTTCTTAAACCAGGAAAGGTTCATTAGTTGCTCAATACTTAATCTAGTACTCGGATTTGGATCGAGTAACTTGTTGATCACACTCCGAGCTGATTTCGAAACCCAATTAGGGAATCGAAAATCGCGACGGTGTATTGCACGGTACATGTTTGATAAATTGCCAGAATCAAATGGAATATATCCCGATAGAAATGCAAATAGAATTACCCCACAAGACCATGAATCCGCCTTTTCGCCATTGTATCCCTTTCCGTAAGCTACCTCTGGAGCTGTATAACCTGGTGTACCGCAAGCTGTATGAAGGAGACTGTTTTTCAGCTGTTCAGGCAAGGCGGAGAGCCCGAAATCGGAGATTTTGATGTTGTTATTTTGATCAAGAAGAATGTTTTGAGGTTTGATGTCGCGGTGAGTAACGCCATTTTGATGGCAGTAATGGAGAGCGGAGACTAATTGGTGGAAGTAGAAACGAGCGGTGGACTCAGAAAACCGTCCATGACGGATTAGCTTGGCATGAAGATCGCCTCTGCAGGCGATCTCCATGACAAGATAGATTTTGGATTTTGTAGCCATTACTTCATGGAGTTTTATTATGTTGGGATGATTAAGACAGGACATGATGGAGATTTCACGTAGGATTCGGGGCTCCATTGAGACATTCGTGCCAATGATCGATTTTTTATCGATAACCTTGATAGCGATATTTGTGTTATCGTCTAAACAAAGGCCGTGGTAGACTTTAGCAAAGCTACCACGGCCTAATAGACGGCCAAGTTGGTACTTGCCGAGAATGATGGTTCCGTTTCCGGAACCACTTCTGTTGGTGCTGGTGGTTCGTCTGATTATCGTGGCGGAGGAGGGTGGTTGAGTGCATTTCGCCTCCATGCTTGCGATGGTGGATGGAGGAGGTGGAGGGGGAAAAGGGTGGTTATATAGGAGGAAATGATCACTTTGAGTGAGAGGTTTGGCTGGACCTCAGTTGTTTTACTTTGCTTGGTATTCAAGTCAACCGTTCACATGAAATGAACATTTTCGTCGTTATATAATAATAAGCTTCACTAATAAATTTAAATTATCTCATATCGTATCGTATTTGTGAAAGAGACAGATGATTTTTTTCGTTACGTCATGACACATAAGTAATAGTATTAACAAGATGAGAGAAAACAGACACTAAATTGATTGTCACATAAAATGAAACAATTTGTCATTACAAATAAGTTTGACAATACAATACGATAAATAAATAAATAAATAGAATATACACATCTTACATCTATTTTGTGAGGACAAAGTGACGATTTCTAATAGACTTTCGAATTAAAAAACATATTCAAACTCGGGTTTATGAGAAAAAATAAGATAGGATGTATCATTAAAAAAAAATTATAAACGTTAATTCATATTGGAACAACTTGTCATTTCTTCTAGTAAAATAGTAAATAGAACACATGAGGATTTACTTTTAATTATAATTATCTTTTGATTACTTTAACTTAGAAAAATCTCATATATATCTTCTTATGGATCTGCATATATAAATCTTGTCCACTTCCATATGGTAAATTAAAATATAATTAATTATCAGACTTATCAATAGATTTTTTTTTCTAAGATTCTTTAAAAGCTTTCACTTTCACTTTTTTTTTTTAGTGAAGATATATATCACCAGCTTTATATATAGGAAGTTGTTGGCAGATAAGCAAATGGACCTTTTTTTTTTTCTTGACTTCGATATTTATTGATTTAATTAATTTAAAATTTATATAATATACAATGTTTTGGGAAAAAAAGAAATTTTTATTAAAGATTTTTTTTTTTAGTGTATGGATTTGAGATCTTTAGTTAAGAATTTCATTTATTTTATTATATCTTATTAACTTGAGCAATTTATATTTGTATTATATAGGACGCATGAATAAAATAGGAACTCTTTATCAACTCGAGATACAAATCTAATCTTTAGTTAACGGCGAAAGATTTTATTTATCTTGTCATACTCTAGATGATTCTTTCAACGGATTTATTTTAGATCATCCGCTATTTGTACCAGTTAATTCAAAAAATTTAATTCACACCGTATATGAACATATTAACACAAGAAAGTATTCTTAGGCATAAACCTAAAACTTCTAACTAAAGAGGAAAAAATATCATATATTATCTCATCACGCGTTCAGTTATATATTGAAGCACACATTTGTAAATTAGCAAAAAATGTTTGTGCCAATGTAGACAGCTATCGATATTACAATTTCTTAAATCGTATATTATTCTTTATCCACTTTATATTAATACGAAATATTTTATGCACGAAGTAATTTTTTACTCGAATGATTCCTTTAGTTATTTTATCAATTAGTGACAAATAGACATGCACCACCTTTAGCATGACTTTACAAGATATTTTGCACTTCAATTAGCACTATATAAAAGCTTTTGTATTAATTTTCTTTGTTCAACTTGCTTTTTAGTAATGTTCAAAGTCTTTAGAGAAACGCTATTGCTTTTTTTTAACTTTATGCAAGTCACAAGATGCATGCTATCCCATTTTGTTAGATTCGAAATGAATTATCTCATATAATAAATAAATTTTTTTAATATAAATATAAAATTACAATTATTAAACTTTATGGGGTTCTAATTAATATTGTAAATCCGCCCCTTAATAGGAAACTCTAAACTATTTGATTCAAGCTTAGCATTCTGGACATATGATGAAACAAAATGGGCAAGGATATATATATAGATTTTAAATAAAGTTATGTCAAAAAAAATTACATTACGTATGCAAATAAAAATGTTATAATATATGAAGTTGATTTAAAGGGGTATATAATAGACTCTTTCATCAAAAAATTATAGTGTGTATTCAGATATAAGAAAAATAGTTTAACACAAAAATATACCTAGTTATTCTCCATTTTTTGATTTTTTTTTTTTTGGTCATATATGATCGTGTTCTACTAAGTTGGAAGAAATTGTATAATGAATCGAGAAATTGTTCATCAATTGTTTTTGATTTAGTATTAATGTAGAAGCATGAAACTTTAATTAGTATTGATCGAGAGAGAAAATAATTGTAAACTTATTACATATGAGAAAAAAAATCTAAATTCGTAATATTTTAAAACTTTAAAAAAAAAATTCATATTCACTTCTTCTAAAAAATATTACTATTATATTTCATTTTAACTTTATTACTATTATATTTCATTTTAACTTTGGCACATCTTTTGGTGCCTCTCAAGGGTCACCATTATATATGTCAATTATATTTAAGTGTACTAACTAATTATCTTTGTCTTCATTAAGCTTGTTATAATCACACCTAATCCAATATTTTTCTCTAATCATGTTTATTTATTGGCCCAAATGGCCACTTCATTGAATAATTTCATAGTTACCACCAATAGTTGCTTTAATATTAATAGGATTTTCTACATTATTTAACAAGAACTTATATATTTGAAACCTATAAATGAAAAAAAATATCATGCTAAAGAGTGTTTTCCTTATAAATAAACTTAAAATGGGACAAATCAGGATTAGTTGATACTCAAAAGAAATACCAAATATCAAAAAAAGAAAAAAATGTCATAAATTTTAATCCTAAAATACATCATCCCTAAACAATTAGGATATTTGTCTTAGTCAGCATTGAAATGTTTTTTTCCAATAAACTTATCAAATTAAATGTGGGAAATTCATGACATATGAGAACTTAATGACAATCTAAAAAGTTCTTTACATTGAACTTATTAAACTTTTGAAATTATATATTTATAATATAATTTATGTATGTTATGAATCGAAACGTTGTATCTGATTAACATAGCAAATAATGTAAGTTTACACTGCAAATAACCACTTTTTAGGTCCTATAATAATGAAAATAGTCATTTTCATACATTTCCAAATTTCACAAATAAAATTCTTAGGAGATTTTCATTGAATTACACCCATGGAATTTAGTACTCCATATCTAGTGGCTATTATTTAAAAAGTTAAAACTGTGGAAGTGGCTATTTTTGCCATGTTGGACAGGGAGTTGTGGTCCATTGGGCCACTCATGTTAACTTACTTCATTTCAGGCCTAGCTAGCTTTGGGTTGGGGGTGTATTGGTTATTGGGCCATTTTGTCTTTCTTCTTTTTTATCTGGGCCCAACCCAGTATCAAAGTTCCAACAGGCCCAATAGGTCAACAAGGCATGATTGTGGTTAGGATTATGGCCCAACCCAAATGAATTTTGATTTGAATATATTGTTTGGTTTAGATACAAGCTATAGGGATTAATTAACAAATAATATGATGATTAGTAATTTAAATCATTTATTTTCCTACTTGCATTTGTTGATTTTTTTCCCAAGTTCATGAAAATATTCAAATTGCATGATAAAAACGAATAAGTATCAATATCTCAAATTTCGAAATGTTAGATTATAACATGTATATTATCTAGAGGTGTTAATCAGAAACAACTTCTTTACTCTATAATAATATGATTCACGACTTTTTCAAACTTTTCTCATGAAATTATATTGTGTATATTATTATTGTTGTATTGAATTATGACATATTACGTGTCATGTAAGCATTTTTCTTTTCCTCCCAACTATTTCTTTTTTCTTTTCTCCCAACTATTTTATGTATGACTCCATCCCTATCAATTATATAATGGTGGTAAATGGATAAGAGTAAAGAATTAAAGTAATTAAAATAATAACGAAAATAAATACGTGTATTTTCGTGTGAATTTAAATTCTTGGCTAACATTCCAAATAAATAAAAAAAGTGCTATATTTTAAAACATATATATTATTTGGTCACCTAAGTTCACCAAAAATAGTAAATTCCTATCCATTTTCTTTCAAATAGAAACTATAACTATTGTATAAACGTTGACTTTTTTTCATGGGCCTATAATATTCTTTATTTTATTCTATTTTTTGTGACCTGAATATCTTTAATCGGTCGAAAAAACCTTTGACTTGTCTATCGAAGCCTAAGGGAGAATTGCAACGTAATAGTTTGTAATTATCGTGGGTATATACTCAAATTCGATGTATAATAAATGTATATATACAGTATACACATTGATGGTGCACAGATTATCCAATGATTATATAATTACTTGAAAGATAAATATAGATAGAAAGTTATTTTCAATAGATCTTCAATTTGAAGGAAGTAACCAAAGCAATATTAATAACAAATTAAAATAACAAGATAAACAAAGGAAATGATACAATAATAATAGTACTAAAAAAATAAATAGTTCATAAAATGCTATGTGAACACTACTAATTAAGGAGAAGATGAGTAGAGGATCAAATAAGCCCTCGCCTCTCAATATAAAAGTACGATAATGTTCGACTATTTACTATTTTTCTATTTTAATTCACGATCTTTATACTTTAACCTATATATTTAGGGTATTGATGTCTTCGGTAAGTTGTAGATCAGACATGTTATGTCTAATCATCTCTTCTTAATTAGCTCTTTTTCGGCCTACCTCTATCTTCCTTAAAATCTATTATGGCCGAATTCGCACCTCCTTACTAATATATCCATGCACTTTCTCTTCACATATTCGAACCATCTCAGCCTTATTTCCTTCATTTTATTTGTCATAGAAATTACCTTTTTTATTAAGAACAGAGAAATTTCACTCGTATCTACTTGTATACCACACTTATTCTTCTTGTGTGAGATATGGAATGACATGTTTCGAAATTGGATTGCAAGTTGGGTAGTGATATTGTTGGGAAGCTACTGATATTATAAATATATTTTCAACAAGAAATCATGCACAATTTGTTTGTTTGTTCATCAAACTTCTTGCCCTCTACTTTAAAACCAAAATATAAATAAACAAATAATAATTTAATAAAATGCAGTTGACTTTAATGTGTGATTCACAAATAAGAATTGATTTTGTAATGACATCTTTAATTTGAAGTTGCTATAGTCAAATATTGTTTGACAACATTTTTATACATGTATTTTCTGAACTTGGGATCTTTTATTTCTTTTATCGTCATTCTTTAATAAGTACTTCTTCTGTTTGAAATTATTTATCATGATTTTTATTTTTAGAGTTAAACTATAAAAAATTTTGACTAACATTTTAAGATGTATTTTTTCATCATATTAATATGCAAAAAATTGTAATTTATAGTGTTTTTCATGTAATTTTAAAATATCTAATTTTTTATTTAAATTATTGAATTAATGTGATCTAATTTACCTTTAAAAATTAGTCAAATTGACTTTCGATAAGCGTAACACGACAAACAATTCCGGACGGAGAGAATAATTACGAAGGCATGAACGATGTACATATCTTTTATGAACTTCAATTTCTTTCATATTTATTGTTTCTGTTAATGCATGTTACAAGTTGAGACCAGTCTGAACATGGTTTTAATTTAATTTTTCTGTGGGAAAAAAATATTATTTCTTATATACATATAAAAGTTCTTATTAATTATGGATCATAAATAAATTTTAATTATATTGATTTATAAATATTATTTTTGTAAGCTATCATATAAAAAGTGAATTTTGCAAACATATAGTCTTCGCAAATTAACCTTTCGAACGATATTAGATTTTGTAAGACATATATAATTATTCTTATCGATAAATATTAGATTATCATCTAATTAATATTTACAATTACTTATAAATTTATAATCACATATAGTATAATGTTTTTTTTTTAAGATAAGATTTTCAGTTTGTTCAATCGGTATGTGAGATATAAGATGATGTGAACCAATATTGGATTGCAAGTTGGCTGGTGGTTGTTGGGGAGCTACTGATATATATATATATACTTTAACCGTTCATCGTTCAGAATTGTTTGCCATGATTTCTATTTTTAGAGTCAAATAATAAAAACTTTGATTAACATTTTAAGATATAATTTTTCATCATATTAAAATGTAAAAAATTGCAAATTACAGTACTTTTCATATAACTTTAGAATATCTATTTTTTTAAGAAAAATATCGAATTACTGTAATCTAATTTTACTTTGAAAATTAGTCAAATTGATTTTTGAAAAGCGTAACATGATAAATAATTCCGAACGAAGGAAATATATAAAGATTTAAATCCAGAAATTAATGATGATAAAGATTAAATTTATTTGATTTAAAATGCTGACATTTTTTGGTCAAAGATTACTGTAAACAAGTTCTTTAATTTTCATATGTATTTTTTTGAGCTTCATTTATGAGGTTTCTTTTAATACCAAGTCATGAATTATGTTGTTTTTTTTTAATAAATAAATCGAAAGAACATGTAAATTTACTTTAAATAAATAGCACATAAAATCGTATATAATTTTTTAAAAGAAATTTCTTGGTTATAGAATCGAAAGATTGGAATAAACTACGATTGCTTATATCACTATTTAAATTTTAAATTTATGTGCGTTAGAGAAAGAAAAGAAAAACATGCCTAAAACACGAATATTATCTCCTTATAGGATAAATTAGGATTAATAATAATTATGAAAATTACTATATTTACCCTAGTGGAATACTTTTAAAATATCTATTATATCTATTATATATGAACTTAATTTATCCAAAAAAAAATTATAACTTAAAACCTAAAACATGACCATATAAAACTAAAAATTAATGAGGAAAAGCCTACCACGTGGTGATATAGTCTCAAACTCTACAATGGCAAAGCTTGTGTCATATAGTTTTTAAAAAGAAAAAAGTTTATCCATATCGATCGGAGTGTTTACATCAGGTTAATGTAATTTTTATCATCACATAATTTAATGAAGTAAAAATTAATTATAAATTTAAACACATGATATACATGTATTAATTTCATGTGATTTATCTGTCGATCTTTCATGTTTTTTTTTTTTTGAAATCTTATTAAAAGAACCATATAACTCAAATTATATCATGCATGAATAGCTAGTGGAAAGAAAAAACAGTAAACAAATAACGGAGAAAAGTATATCGTATCTAGACTAATACAACAAATAAGTGAAAGATGTCATGTCAAATACTTAAAGTGGTGATTATTAACTTCGTTTTTCATGTAAGACAATGAAATGCACCTTAATAAATTGATAACTTCAATACAAGATAGATAATATTAGGTATGCAGATAAAATCTCACGTTATCTCACGTAGATAGCTAAAAAGAAAAACAAGTTACTCACAAGATATTCAATACTCTATTGTAAAGCCTTTCTATTCTTAATGAAAAATCAATGCTTCAAGTCAAATAAAAACTTAATATAACTAGTCATAAATCTATCTTCCTTCAATATTCAAATTACTAAAATAGTAGAATAATTTATACACGAAACTTTAGTACTATATTTATTTTTCCCAAGTGGCAAATTAAATGCAAGTTCGTTGGGGTAGTTGCACCAGCCTGCTGTTCATGCATCCTATAAGTTGTCCAACAAATTCATCATTTTTTCCCAACACATTTACAACTCTATTTTTTGTTCAATCTTTCTCACTCAGGTCTCTCTTATTTCGTCTAAAAAGATTATTTTTTACTCATATTTCATCTAAAAATCTTTTTTTTTTCACTTGAATATCTCTTATTTCATCTAAAAATCAATTCTTGACAATCGGGTATCTCTTATCAAAATCAGTTCTTGTCATTTAGATATATCTTTTTTTATCTAAAAATCAGTTCTTGTCATTTCGGTGTCTTCTACTTCACTTAAAAAATGAATTTTTTTTACTTAGATATCTCTTATTTCGTCTAAAAGTTCGTTATTTTCACTTGTGTATATCTTATTTTATTGAAAAATCCATTCTTTTCACTCGGGTATCTCTTCTTTCCTCTAAAAATCAATTCTTTTCACTCGGATATGTCTTCTTTCATCTAAAAATCAGTTCTTTTCACTCGGATATCTCTTCTT